AGTAAAAAATTGACTTAAAAATTTGGACCACTTATAGAAAATGATCTTTTTATTTCCACTTGAGTCATGAACAGTTTCCGCCTGATTATACCCATCTACTGTAGATTGATGAACCACATTTATTAAATCATTTAGATCATCCACTTCCGATTTTCGAAGTTTTAATTTGAAGAGACCAAAAAATCCATCAGGGCTAAATTTTGTGTGGCCCGCAACCATAAAAGAATAGATAGTTCTATCGTGTAAACCATTCATTACCCGCCACATAAGATACTGAATCATGGCATTATTCTTATTTTGCCCTACGCAATTATCAGCGTGTATAATAACATACTTCTCTCCAAGGCCATGATTCATAAAGTAATTGTGAACTAAAGAGATTACTACGTCGGCTCCTTTTCCTACACTTTCGTTTTCTGGAATTAAATAATTAATCTGCAAATATGACAATATTGATTAATATAAAAATTCCAGAGTGTCCAAACTTATGCAATTTCAGGGATTTTTCATTATTTAAACCATGAAAAATCCTGAAATCGCATAAGTCCGGACACTATAAGAATTTTAATATGCAAAATTCTGATAGTTTTGTGATCTTGATACGTATATAACAAAAAAAAAGTTCTATTAATATCGAAATCCTAAAATATTAAAAGATTAAAATTCTAACGTTTAATAAAGGATAATATAACAGTAATATATGGGATTTATCCAACTCTATCAAACATAGTTTTCTACATTATCTTCTCTAACACCTATTTATTTGATAAAGTGTTTAAATAGCAATAATGTGGCTGAATGCCTTATAATCGTCCTTTTTGACTCCAATTCCATTTTAATAATAATGACCATTCCTACATTCATCCTTTTTGGCATCTATTCTATTCGATAACAGTGTCCAAAATTACAAGTCGCAGTAAATTCTGAATTTTGATATCAAATGAATAAATTAATGACCAAACAAGTAAATAAGCAATCATATAAATAAATGTCTTATGTTTGTCTTTTTTAACTCCAATTCTATTTTAATAAAAATGGTCAATCCTATCCATTCTTTTCAGTGCCTATTCCCAACAAGACTTTTTTGTCGAAACCTGTGGAGTACCATCTCACCTATGTCCTTTGTGATAAGTCTCTAAACTAGTACCTTCATCCATTGCTCTGGGAGATTCATCCCATCTGCTCTTTGATATAGGTTCCTTATCATCAGGTTTTGACCATTCAGAACTTGATTTAACTTTTACAGGTGTTTCCATATTCCATCTTCATTTCTTCTGAGTAGCAGCCTGTTCTACCGATGCCTCTTTTGCCACTTCCTTTTTTTCTCTTCAACTTTACATCTAACACCTTCTTCTCTTTCTAACTTGGCCTCTCACATAACATCAGCATAGAAGCGCAAATCATCTTTTCCATCTTCTAGGGATCATTTCTATTTGGTGAAATCGCTTGATTTAATCTATGTGTGTGGTATTTGCTCTGTCAATCAATAATTCTGCGAGATTCTTGCCGCTCTTTAAATGGTTCAATTTCGGCGTTATTACCCACTATATCTTCATACATGTTAGAAGGTGCTGTATAAGTGGCAAGTCTTTTTGTTTGTTGTTGAATAATGTCTTCTAATTGATAGTAAATGACATGCTAGTTAAGATCAATAGTACAAACATACTAACATTGCGAAAATAATTTTACTTATCTGTAGCCATCATAAAAATTAAAGGTTACAAGTTACAGTAATATTTCTTTACTAGCAGAATTTTAATAATAAATAAATAAATAAACAAATAAAAGAAACAAATAAATGTCTTACATTTATTTTTTAATTCCAATTCGATTTTGATCAAAGTGGCCAGTTTTATCCTCTAAGCTTACAATCATCTCTATTTCATTTGATTACAGTGTCCAAGATTATGAATTGTGATAATATTTTCCTTACTAACAGAATTTTGAATTTTGATAATGAATTAATAAATAAATGAAAAAATAAATAAATAAGCAAAATAAGCAAACAAATAATTAAGTGTCTTATGCTCATCTTTTTTTAACCTCAATCCGATTAATTATTGTCGCGGCTGATGCTGGAAACGGCTGAAGCTGGAAATCAGGAACCCTGATTTAAAAATATAAACCCTGCCAAAA